GTCACCACGAGAAGCACCTACAGCGACTATGCTCTTCTCCGCTGCGAGGAGGGCCTTCTCGAGGAGGTCGACGGTGAGGGTGGTGGGACAGACTGCGAGAAAGTGGTCCCTGACGACGCGAAGGGAGTCAGGGAGGTGCGCGACTACGTAGTAGAGAGCGATGTACATGGGGGGTGGGTTCTTAGCGCAGAACTCAGCAGGAAGGGCGGCGCGGTAGCGAGTGTCACTAGTGCGGAGGTGCGTAATGAGGTCAGCAACAGTGGGAAAGGCAGAGAGGTCAGGAAAGAGGTAGGGAAGCATGAGACGGCTCAGTGCAGCAGTGGCAGGGGAGGAGTAGCGCGCAACTACAGCGTCGTACAAGGTCTGAGCACTCTTGTACTGACTAAAGTGCGCACGCTCAGAGGTAGGGAGGTGGCGACGCACAGCAAGACGTGCAGCAGCATCGCGGGTGGCCCACTGAGAGCGGACAGTGGGATCAGCATCAGCAGCAGGAGCAGGAGAGACGCCAGAGGTGAGGTCAAAGAGAGAAAGGTCGTCAGCCTTGTCGCACTGTAAGAACAGCTGCAGGTCGTCTAACTAGACCTCAAAATCAATGGCGCGACCCTCAGCGTCAAAAGCTAGGACACTAGGGGTAGCCATGGCGACGACAGCGACGCAGTGCAAGCAGTAGGGAAAGAGCTCGCAGTGTCAGTGGGACTGTGCTCACCAGGCAGGGCAGGTCGTGCAGCTCTGCAGAAAGGCGGCTCAGCGACCGGGCGGCTCGGGTGCACAGCGGCTCGGCTCCCGGGCGGCTCGGCGGCTGGGCGGCTCGGGCGCAGGGCGGCTCGGCTCCCGGGCGGCTCGGCGGCAGGGCGGCTCGGGTCCCGGGCGGCTCGGCGTTGGGCGGCTCGGCTCCCGGGCGGTTCGGCTGCTGGGGCTGCTCTACTGCTGGGGCGGCTCGGCCGGGAGATGCAGGGGCGGGGCCGTCAGGTGCAGCGGCGGGTCGACCGGTGCAGCGGCGGGCCGGCAGGTGCAGCGGCGGGGCCGTAGGGTGCAGCGGCGGGCCGACCAGGTGGGGCGGCGGGCCGTAGGGTGCAGCGGCGGGCCGTAGGGTGCAGCGGCGGGCCGGCAGGTGCAGCGGCGGGGCCGTCAGGTGAGGCGGCGGGCCGCTGGGTGCAGCGGCGGGCCGGCAGGTGCAGCGGCGGGCCGGCAGGTGCAGCGGCGGGGCCGTCAGGTGAGGCGGCGGGCCGTAGGGTGCAGCGGCGGGCCGTAGGGTGCAGCGGCGGAGCCGGCGGTGGGGCCGCGTCAGTGGAGGCGGCGGGGCCGCGTCAAGCAGGCGGCGGGGCCGCGACGAAGCGGGCGGCAGGGCCGCGTCAGAGCCGGCGGCGGGGCCGCGTCAGTGGAGGCGGCGGGGCCGCGTCAAGCAGGCGGCGGGGCCGCGACGAAGCGGGCGGCAGGGCCGCGTCAGAGCCGGCGGCGGGGCCGCGCCAAGCCGGCGGCGGGGCCGCGATCAGGAGGGGTGGCGGGGCCGCGTCTGAGGGACAGCGGGGCCGCGAGGGAAATGGCGACCCGAGGGGTCGCTAAAAAAAAGGCGCGCCTCGGGGCGCGCTTCGGTGGGCCCTAAAAAAAACGGTCCTAAGGAAGGAACCGCTCTATACCATGTGGAACAAGTGAACAGGAATGGGAATGACTAAGGAAAGATTGGGTACAAATACAACCCTAGAAACCCTGTACCCCATATGTGCTACCCCACTATAGCCTACAGCAACTATGTCATATAAATCTGACAGCTGGGACTCTCCTGTTGTGTCTGTTGTGGAGGCAGTTGGGGTACGGCAGTTGCGGCACAGACCATCAGGTCCAGGTGTGTGTAGGCCGATTTCGCGTAGATGTGCGTGATGCTTGATCCAGGGGCCTTCCGTCTGGGTGTTTGGGTTTACGGTTCCAGACGATGTCTTGAGGCTGAAGATCAATGAGATCCTCTGAATCAGCGCTGCAGTCGGGAATGTCAAAGTCAATGATGTAGACCCCATCTTCGGAATGAGCTCTGCCGATGTAGCGCGGTTCGCTGTCGAAGTTGCTGTAATCTTTCCAGTGGATGAGAATGTCGCGTGTCTCAAGGTCAGTCGTCATCAGCACCCCGCTCTGCACGAGTTGGTCGTAGGAGAGGAGATTATTGCGAAGGTTGCGTACGATGAGGACGTCGTTGAGTGTGATGTAGATATTGCTGTTGCGCGCCTTGAGGACGACAATTCCGCATGCTCGTGCTTGAAGTTGCTGATTGTTGGCCACTGTGACGACGGTGGGTTGGGGGATGGCGCTTGCGTTGGAGATGTAGCGCTCTGAGCCCACCATATGCTGCCCACAGCAGCTGTCGAGGTACCACGTGTTATAAGAGTTCGTGCGGTGCTGGGCCGAGAGCTCCAAGTTTGGCGTATTTCGGAAAATGCGTTGATCTCCAGCTGCGCGGTAATTGTCCATGGGGCGCGTGTCGATGTTGTGACCGAAATAGTAGCTGGTGATTGAAGGCGAGTTGAGAAAATCCTCGTCATGCGGCGGTGACTCCAGCACGGGTGTTGGCAGGTCCCAATCTTGTTCGTATTCATCGGAGACGAACTCCCCATCTTGTGTGAACGGGTTGTTGTAGCCAGTGAATTGCACTTCGTGTCCTGGCGGAAGAGGAGAGACATGTCGCAAATGTCGCCGATTTGTGCGGCGGGTGCGACGTGGAATGGGCATCGCAATGTTGCCCATGACGTGGCGAGTAGTGTTGTTGTTCTGGGGTGCACGCTGAATGTCTGATTGCGGTGGCTGGCGCGGGGCCGACCGATGGTCCGAAGACGGCCGGTTTGCCTGGCGCATTTGGTCAGGGCCGTAAGCAGAGTTGTTGCGCGGTGCGGAGTCATGTCGTGGTCCAGATCGGCAGCGTTCGGTGGATTGACCGAAATTTTTGCAGTTCTTGCAATAGTATTGTCGTGGCCGTGTGTCACGATTCCTTCGTCGGTCGCGATTAGAGTAGAAGGCAATTTGTTCGCGTCGCACCCCCTTTTCTTTGTTGAAATCCATGTCGCGCTACTCGTGCAGTAGAGTTGCGCATAGATGTGCTTCAGATATTATCCCTTGTTGGCGAAGAAGCGCCTTGCCGGGATTCCAGTGAGGTCCTAGTCCTCGAAGCACGATGGTGACGAACATGTCCTCGGAAATGGTGTTTCCGAGCTTTAGTAGTTGATCGCGAATACTTCGGCAGCGGTTGATGTAAGAATTCGCTTTCTCACCCGGTGCCATTTTGACCTCCATGGGTTGCTGGAGCAGACGACTAGATGATACGGAGTCTTTGGGCTGGTAGGTTTTGTTGAGGTAGCTCCATGCGGCCATGGCGGGGGCTTGATGAGTTTTGTAGGGGCGAATGCCGAGTTGCTCGGTTGGTGCCATGTTCCGAAGTAGAACGCTATACGCCATGAGTGACACGTTGTAATACTCAGTCTTTGCGTCGTCGGTGTCGCTGGTAGGGCCAGCGTAGCTACCGTCAAAGTAGCAGAAGATTTGCGCGTTTTGTAGAAGTAGCTTGAGCTCGAAACTCCAGGTGTAGAAATCTCGCCCGCTAAAGACGGTGCTGGTTTGAATCTTGGAGATAGTCAGAAACTTGTTCTGAGCTGTGAGCACGGCTTCGTCACTTGGACGTTGAACTGGTGGAGCAGAGGAGTTTGACCCGAGATCAAAGGTGGCTGGGCTCGGTTCCTTGATTGGAGCAGCCGGTTGATCGGGTTGTGGAGCGGTTTCAGGGTTGTCATTCTTCAATTGTTGAATTCCTGTTTCCAGCGTAGATATCCGCTGGATGAGTTGCTCTAGAAGCGCATTGCTGACGGTGGTAGTTCCCGTGGAGTTCGCGGTAGGGTTGGCGGGGGCTTTGGCAGTGTTGGCCGCTTATCCGCCTGATCCTCCAGCCATGTTTCGGCGGGAGCGCGTACCGGACGCCACCTTGAATTTGAATTTGAATCAAAGGTGGTGATGCGAAGAATCCTGAGTAGCTCTCATACCATGATACAATCTGAACCGTCTTATAGGATCGTCTCAGGTTGATCGCACGTAGTGTAGCAGCGGAAGATTGCTTGGTAATGTCGGGTACGGACTCTGTCAGTAGAATGAGATTTAGATCTCGACAGAAGTAAATAACACAATGCGGTACAAGGGTTTGTATAGGAATACAGTGGAATGCGAAAGGTCCTAGCTAGCCATGTACTCTGAGGGGGTACATTCCCCTTAGGCCTAATCTAGGTGCAAGCTTGAAACCGTGCGGCTCGGTAACCGTACACGGTTCGGTAATCGTTTGAAGCTTTCCCGCACTTTGCACTTCGAATTCTTCCTGCTTGTAACTGTCTTCGATAAATGTCTTGTCGCCCAGTCTTCGTCCTCGCTGCAGTCATCTTCGCGTTAAGGTTTCGTTACTCAGGAATGTTTATTCAACAATTCCATATCGTAACACAAATCAAGGAAAAAAAACATACACAGTATCTACAAAACACCTGAACTCCCCACTGTAATTGGCATGGCATTGTGGCTGCGTGTTTATTTACTAGGTTATCTGTATATATCTGACCAGTTTAGAAGGTGATGATGATTCCCCAAACCACTGGGGAAAAATAATCCCTTGTTCTTCTTGAGGTGAAGAGCAAAAAAAAAAAATGAGTGCTAATATGAAGTGGCTGTCAGGCACCTCTGATGTTTAGAATTATAGAAAAAACACTTGGGCCCAATCCACATGAGAACTACACAGATTTCTGGCTGAGTGGTTCCAACTATTGGGGATACTCTATGAGGGTTACAAAGCATTTCAAATGAAGGAAAAGTAACACACACTGGATTTACAAAGCACTTGAACTCCCCACTTGTAATTGGCGTGCCATTACGGCCGCATGTTTATTTACTAACCCATCTGCTAATTTCTGACCAGTGTAAAAGGTAATGATGATTCCCCAAACCACCCTGGAAAAGGACTCTGCAGCCTGCATCACAACCCCTTGTCACATGAGATCGCTTGCATCGCTGCTCTCGTGTTCCCCCCTCCGCCAAGCAGCAGCGTACATGCAATCTGTGGAGTGAATATCGGAGGTGATGTAGTCCTCCGTGTGCCCATCCAGGAATCCTCTGCCGCTCTCACTCTCCACCTCCACCGGCTCGCGCAGCAGGCGGGTCAGCAGGCGGTATCGCAGCGAGCGCACCTTGCGGGATTCCTCACCTCGGAAGGTCTGACCCAGCACACCGTGAATGCCATTTGTGTGCTGCAGAGGGGAGGAGGGAGAGAGGGCGAGAGAGGGGGTGGGGGGGAGGGGGCAGAAGGAATATGGATGAAGGGAAGGCGGTTGCATGGGACAATATGACAGGCATGACCACACTCATGGCAGCATGCTGCTGGGCACAGCTCACAATCACAAAACAAAGGAAAGAAAGAAGAGAAGAAGAACGGAAAAAAAAAAAGGTTGATCACATTGAGCCGGTCGATGTGCACGTTGAAATGCGCCTGGGCCTCCGTAGCCGTCTGCATGAGCGGATGCGCCGAACGCGCCGTGATGCCCATGTCCACCACGCCGTCGATCTTGAGATGAAACTCGTCCTCATCCTTCCCCTTGCAGCTCCGTGTTTCCGCCAGAAGCAGCTTGAACCCGCCGCTGCCAAGGACGAAAGAGCCGGCGGACAGAGGCGGGGCCACCGGCGAGCTGTCGAGCTCCAGTCGGTCGATGAAGCCGCTGCTGCCCCTCCCTTGCTCCTTGCCGTCGCGCGCCTTAAAGAACGCTGAGTGCTGCGCGCCGGTCGAATCACGCCACATCACTTGGAGCTCCCTGTAATGAGTGCGACACGACAAGGCAACATGAGGGTCGTGGACAGCTGAAAAAATGGCACATTCGTCTCCGCATACAACCACATACCTGATCCAGCTGCGAATCGGCTTTCCCTTCAGAAGCCTCGCCTTCAATTCATGCTTCACATACTGAATGGAATGCTGCTCCTCCTCTTTCCCTCCACTGCCACCGCTTCCGCCGCTTCGGCCACCGTCATCCCGCTCAAGTGCCGCCGCCACCTCAGCAGTCAACGGCAGGCTCCCATTGGCCCGCATTCTTTCCAGCTCGCCCAGTTCCTCTACGCTCAGCGTCTCCTGCTCCAGTTGCCTGATATGACGTGGCTTCTTCTCATTGGACGCTACTTCAAGCGCTGCAGCAAGCGACTGTTCGTCCAATGATGTCGCCGTGCCGGGGAGATTCGCGATGGGCTGGTAACCCTTGATTCCCATGTTGATGTGTATCCGACGGTCGGAAAGCAAGCAGAAGGAGCGGTTCAGAAGGCCGTTGAAGTCGAAGCGCGTGCCGTCTGCGCCTAGGAAGTGGGGATCGTCGTCAGTGAATGCTTCGGGTTTGCATTGGCCTCCTAGGAATGATATTGGCCAGTCTGTGTCCCAGTTCCTCACTTGGAGGAATTCCAACGAGCCCATCAACCTGCATCGGGCACTGCTCGGTGTCATGGGGGAGGGGAAGTTAGTAGCCATAGGAGTCGTCGGGAAGTACTACTTGGCAGGTACGAAACTAGAAGGGAAAGAGGGAAATCAAGATACTAGTTCACAAAGCGAAAGCGGAGGCGTTGACATCAAACGTTGAAATCACATTTCCAAAAGGTAGAAGCTTGCGTGAGGGAAAGAAGCATTGCTACCACGGCAGGGGCTCACAGGGGAGTGCAAAGAAAGAGCAGGCCGGTGAACCGACAACGTGAACGATCATGCGACGGAGGAGGGCTACTACTACTAGTAGCATCGGTGGCGATGCTTACGCTTGGCCTGGTTTAGTGGGTCGCATTTGCCAGAATTTGCAGCCAACTTGCTTGGCGCAGCGCTGACAGCATTCCGTTTTTTCCATGATGGTCTGCGAAGACGAGCGACGGGAAAGGACGGTAAAGGAATGTGCATGTGCCACATGATAGCTTAGCAAAAATAGACGCGTTGAGCACCATGGTGGTGAAAGAAAACGCAAAAGAACCTCTTGGGAATGTAGTAGGCAACATGGTCTAAACGTGATATGGCTAAAAAAGGGATTACCCCTGGGGTAGGCCCTGCGTCTTCGATTATAGCCATGTTGCCGATATCGTAGCGCTCAAAGTTGTAGTTCGCGACATCGTTTACTGGAAACGCCCTCGTGTCGGTTACTTTGTTGATATTATACCCCAGTATAAGAGTTCTGCATTTCTTGGCACATCCGTTAGGTTGTGTCAAGGGGCCGGTCGGTTTGTCCTCGTCAGGGTGCAGTGCGACAGTCGGAGAAGGTGTTCCCAGAAGCACCATGGCGAAAAAAACCAGTAGCCACGATGCCCCTCCCACGGCTCTTCGACCAGCGGCGAAACAGCCCGAAGAGGCGCGTGTTTTCATATTGTAATTACAGACTCGAAACAAGCTGGAGCCTCCTTGCGGAACAGGATGGCGTAGTAATTGCTTAGATATGGCTGCCAGTGTGGGGAAACTACATCACAAAAAACCCGGTTCAGCTTCGAGGTTTCCGAGGGTCGAAATGAGTCATTTCACAATGGCATTCGATATTTTTGGCAGATTCGGACTTCCAGCAGATTTCTGACGGAAATCCGCTGGTTTCCGCATGGAAATCCATGACGCAGGGTGTGCTTGACCGAAATGTTCGGGTGCACCCTAGTCGCGTCAAGAATGAACAGTAATTCTTGATTTCTGGCAGATTTCTGACAGGAATGCAGATGTGGGCGGCGAGGCAAGGAGTAGTGCAAAATTGATATATTTGAGATGCATACACTCGAGACTTTCAGTATATTTCAAAGCCTAAGACTTATGTATAAATAAAGCTACTTGTAATTAATATCTCATATCTGAGAGCTAAAATAGGCAATTAGGAATATCATTTTGATGTGTATTTCTCGCCAATTAATACAAAAAAATCAATGATATCTATAATCGTCGACGACAATATTAAAGCACGCTATACAAATTCATGATTTTCAAGCAGTACAAAAACAAATGCGTGCACAAAAGATTCACCGCTTCCTGTGCCTATCCTTGAACTAATTTATCAATCTCATGATTGCACAGGCCTATTCTTGCACTGTTTTAGGCCAGCAAACGCATTAACATGCGCCCCGTGCTGCATAGGTGTGCTAACGAGGTCAAACCAGTTCCTATGGCTAGGTAATAGGATGTAGTAGAGGACTGTGTGAAGAAATAGTGCTCAAAAATTCATTTCGAAGTTGGCGCAGTAACATCTTGCGCAAAGGTCTATCCTTGCACGGATTCGGGCCAGCGAGCGCACAAACATGCGCCACGTGCTGCATAGTTGTGCTAACGAGGTTGAACCAGTTCCTATGGCTAGATAATAGGATGTATTAGAGGACTGTGTGAAGAAATAGTGCTAAAAAATGCATTTAGACGTTGGCGCAATGACATCTTGCGCACAGACCTATCCTTGCACAGATTCGGGCTAGCAGGCGCACAAACATGCGCCACGTGCTGCGTAGTTGTGCTAACGAGGTCAAACCAGTTCCTATGGCTAGGTAATAGGATGTAGCAGAGAACTGTGTGAAGAAATAGTGCTAAGAAAGGCATTTACACGTTGGCGCAGTGACATCTTATGCACAAACCTATCCTTGCACAGATTCGGGCCAGCGAAAGCACAAGCATACGCCACGTGCTGTGTAGTTGTGCTAACGAGGTCAAACCAGTTCCTATGGCTAGGTAATAGGATGTAGTAGAGGATTGTGTGAAGAAATAGAGGTAAAAATGGCATTTAGACGTTGGCGCGGTGACATCTTGCGCACAGACCTATCATTGACAGATTCGGGCGAGCGAACGCACAAACATGCACCACGTGCTGTGTAGTTGTGCTAACAAGGTCAAACCAGTTCCTATGGCTAGATAATAGGATGTAGTAGAGAACTGTATGAAGAAATAGTGCTAAAAAGGGCATTTAGATGTTGGCGCAGTGACATCTTGCGCACAGACCTATCCTTGCACAGATTCGGGCTAGCAAACGCACAAACATGCGCCACGTGCTGCGTAGTTGGGCTAACGAGGTCAAACCAGTTCTGATGGCTAGGTAATGGGATGTAGTAGAGGACTGTGTGAAGAAATAGTGGTAAAAAATGCATTTAGATGTTGACGCAGTGACATCTTGCGCACAGGCCTATCCTTGCACAGATTCGGGCCAGCGAACGCACAAGCATACGCCACGTGCTGCGTAGTTGCGCTAACAAGGTCAAACAAGTTCCTATGGCTAGGGAATAGGATGTAGTAGGGAGCTGTGTGAAGAAATAGTGCTAAAAAAAACATCCAGACGTTGGCGCAGTGACGTGTTGCGCACATGTTTCTGCGCACCGACACCTCTTTGCCGCCGTTCTACATCCTCGTGTACGTTGACGACTTGGTCTTTGCCACTGCTGACACTGCTGGACTCGCCTACGTGAAGTCCGAGCTGCAGAAGAGACACACGTGCACAGACCTGGGTGAACTGCGCAACTACCTTGGCTTGCAGATCACCCGGGACAGAACACAGCGCACCATTACCCTGACTCAGTCACACATGGTGCAGCAGGTCCTTCAGCGCTTCGGCTTCACGTACTCCTCGCCTCAGGCCACTCCTTTGTCTACTCGCCACTCGCTCTCAGCTCTGCCTTCGGATGAGTCCGTAGAGCCGAGTGGCCCGTATCCAGAGCTTGTTGGCTGCCTCATGTACCTGATGACCTGCACACGACCTGACCTTGCATACCCTCTTAGCATCTTGGCACGCTATGTTGCTCCTGGGAGACACCAACCAGAGCACATGGCTGCAGCGAAGAGGGTGTTGCGCTACTTGTGCAGTACCTCGGGCATGGGGCTAGTGCTTGGAGGGCGACGTCGAGTGGTCCTCACAGGTCACGCAGACGCTTCTTGGGCTGACGACCAGGCTACGCAGCGGTCGTCACAGGGTTACACATTCAGCCTTGGCTCCGGCTTTGTTTCGTGGCGGTCTACCCGCTCGTCTTCTGTTCTCAGCTCCAGTTGTGAGGCCGAGATTTACGCGGGAGCCATGGCTGCACAGGAGCTACGCTGGCATATCTACTTGTTAACTGACCTAGGAGAGCGGCCTCGTTCTCCTCCAGTTCTGTACGTAGACAACAAGGCCATGCTGGCCTTGTGTCGGGAGCACAGACTGGAGCACAGAACGAAGCACATTGCTCTTCGCTACTTCCTTGCTCGTGAGCTGCAGCAGTGTGGTCAGCTGCGCCTTGCTTACGTGGCCTCTGAGGCCAACACTGCTGATATCTTTACCAAGGCACTTCCGCCTGGTGATCATCAGCGCTTCTGTACGATGCTAGGTCTTGTGCCTACTTTGCCTCACTTGCTCACTTCTTGACCTTGCTTGTACTGTCGTCTTTCTATACCTGCACTTGCTTGTTTACCTTTTTTTTTATCTTCCATATGAACTGGCATTTTGGCCTTGCTCTTGTACTCGAATTGTATGGTGACGTTGTGATCCACCCTGAGCTTACTTTGCTTTGCTTGAATGGTCTTGTGACCTCTTGTTCTCCCCCACTTTGCCTTTGGGGGTGAGTCAAACTTCTATGCTATAGTCTATGCATGCTGTAGTGGGGTAGACTATATGGAGTACAACATTTCTAAGTTTTCCTACTTGTACCCACCTGCTTGCTAGTTCATTCATTCCTCATTCTTCACATTTTGAACAATATCTCTATTTATCATTCATAGATTTACTATATTTGCGGGCATGCTGGTCAGTTTTGGTGTCATTAGCAGCACATGGTAGGAAGGAAGCTACGCTGTTTCTAAACCATCGAGCAGGTAGAACTGCGTAACGATAGACATATGTGCAACATGGTGTCATATCAGCGTCCGATTGTCGGTTCGAACAATATTTATCTTGGTCACTCATACATCTTTACTATTTCCGAGCATTTCTGCACAGATTTGGTGCCGTTCGCACCACGTAGAAGGAACATATACGATTTCAAACAATTGAGCAGCGAAAACTGTTTGATGATAGGCATGTGTACGATGTGGTGCTGTATCGTTAAGCGATGATTATGTCGATCATTAATACATTCACTCTACTTGTAGGCATGCTCGGCAGATTTCGTGTCATTCGCAGTTCTTGGTAGGAATATATGGTGGTTCAAACAACCGATTACTGAAAATTGTGCAAGGATAGGCCTTTGTAATTATATGAATATTATAATAGCAATGAAAGTTTAAAGTGTTCAGTTTCGGCTGAAATATACTTTACAATGATAAAACCGCATACATTTGTTACAGATTGTGATACTTTGTGGGAAATAGAAATCAGATTTTGGAGAGAATTGGGAAAGTACGAGGCCGGTCAATATAACTGCATATACTGTAGACTCTTGGACTGGCCACCGCTTTGGTCAATCCTGCACACGTCATTTCAATACGCCCCCTGCTCAAGAACGCGAACACGTCATCGTTGAAGTGTTCTGTCATTGGTGTACTCATTTTTTACCCACCTTGTTGGCGATATGAATTCTTATGATTGGTCCTTTCTCGCCGTCAAGTATTCAGTTACGTGCTGCTGAACTGAACAGCTTGCACAGTTGCGCTAGACTACGATCTAGTGCAGCTGCGCAATTGCTGCAACTGCCACCTGCGCGCAATTGCTGGAACTGCCTAAAGCGCACCTGGGACATGCAGCACTGCAAGCGCAACTTTCCCCTCCCCCACGCAACAGCTCAACCCACCCAGCACAAGCAGCAGCCAGCGCGACTGCGCAAGCGCAGCTGCTCTGCTCACGGGGCAACGGCAGCAGCAGCTGGTGCACCTTGCGCAGCAATCCTTCCCTTCTTCCTCTTTCAGCGTCCCCTTCCGTCACTTTACGCATTTTTCAATCTTCTTTCCTCCCTCGCCTTCGTAACTCGTCTCTTTCCTCTGCTTTCCACCACGCTCAATGTCGATTAACAGGTACGTAGTATCGTTTCCATTGAAGTCATCGGTTTCTAGTAGCGATGTTATTTCACTCTTCGGCGCTTCGTTTTTACTGGTGCAGAACTGATTGATGTGTGAAAGCTCCGCAACACGTCCGACGCGAGCGTCGCTTCTCTGCTGTTTCTTCTTTCCTGAAACTTGTGATGGGTTCGCATTTCAATCATTCCTCGGCTTCCTCGGTTTCAGCCGCCCTCGACTACGCGACTCCTGCATAATCCACTGTTTCCACCAGTCACTATGTCTATTATCAGGTACGCAGCCGTTAGTACTACTTGGTTTTGTGTTTGTGTTATGTCTTTCATTTCTGGTAGTGCTCGTAATGACCTCTTTTGCGTTGCGTTTTCTCCGATGCAGAACTGATTAATGCGGAAAATTTTAGGAACACGTCCGGCTTGATAGTCATTTTTCGTGTTATCAACCAGAAAATTATGGAAAGTCGTTCGCATTTTATTTAGTTTTCATTTCGTTCCCTCTTTACCAACCAACGTCCTTGGTGTTTGATTTTGCAGACCACCACGTCAAGCTTTTTTCGATCTCGAAAGTCAAATTCTTCGACGCCATTGCACGTACGTATTTACGTGACATGTTTTGTTTTTCTACTAACTACGCCATTCTGTTCCTTCTGCAGCAACAGTAAGTGTGGCTGCGTCCTGGACTGGAGCAGCAGCAGCAGCAGGAGCAGCAGCTGCAGCAGTTGCAGCAGTTGCAGCAGCAGCAGGAGCAGCAGCAACAGCAGCAGCAGTTGCAGTAGCTGCAGCAGCTGCAGCAGCAGCCAAGATCATTTTTTTGTTTTTAATTGTTTTGGCACCACATTTTGTTTAGGCACATGATGTCATGCTTCTGTATCATTTATTGAGTTTTGTATGTTCTGCAACGTTTTAATATGATTTGTACAACAATCACTTAGCAATACCGTGTCGTGTAATAGAATTATGAGCAATTAAAAAGTGTATGATGTAAATCCAGTCTCGAAGATTAATATTATATTGTCGGTTTTATGGCCGAAATCATTAATAAAAAATATAAACGAAACATGATTAGAAAGAATGCAGTGTACTGAGTCTACAGTTTATTCATTTATCTAAATTATTGTCGGGGAATCTCGTTTCGACCGAAGCGCGATTGTGATGGAAATCCGCCGGAAACCTTGTCTGCTTTTCATTGGAAATCATGGAGTCTCTCCGAGATGGAAAACCGATGGAAAATTCAGTGACAATACCAGTGCGCCACTCGTTGGAAATCCGTCGGAACAAGTTGAGAGTTTTCCGACGGATTTCCGTTGGTTGGACAGAAATCATAGCCTAAACCACCTGTTTTCAGGCCCGGTTTTTTGTGATGTAGTAGCAGTTGTGAACGACTTCAGCAAGGAGCTTGAGGCTGGTGTCTTCGATTCAAATCAAGAAAGCTAAGAGGCTGGCTTGAGAATCAACGCACCGCGAATATGCGAGTCGGGTATAGCTTCGCACGTCTTCGAGAATGGGCCTGTGCTGACACGAGCTGAGCTGTGCTGCGAGCTGAAAGAAGCCAATTCACTGCCGAAAGTTGCCACGTCAGATCAAATTGGCTTGACTTCACGGTCGATGACAAAAGTCATGCAAATTCCAAGGACTGCGAGCAGTCAAGGGTTTGACTTGGCATTGGGCAACTTTCCATATATTTTCCCTTTCAGTGTGGCAGAGTCAGATTCTAGTACTGTAATATGTGAGCCAGATTCTAGTACTTTAGAATACGGGAGGAGCTGAGTTCTGAAAACACGGACGCCCAGAACTAAAAAAACAACAGTGAAGGCCGCGTTCTAAACAATCATAACACTCAGGCAAGCGGGATGGAGTTTTAGCAGAGAAACAGCTATTTGCGAATATTACGCCGAGCTGTAACTGCTACGTTTTTTGGGGGAGAGTTCGCATTTGCGCCTGCAATTCCAGGAGCACACAAAATGGCATGTGCAAACAGACACTCCAGATGAGTAGGTCTCTCAGGCAGACTGAACAGAAATTGGATGTTGACGTGACGCGACGACTTCTGTCGAAACGAAACTCGGCTGGGACTGTCATGCACATGTTTTTGTCGTTTCAGGTGGTGCGTTATGCACATCTTCAAGTGCGCTTCAAGTAACGATTACACGATGGGAAAATATGCCATTCGTAATGAACAAGGGTCTCGGAAAAAAAATGTAACAAAATATAGTGTACGATCACAACAGTGTTTTCAACATGAATAAACAGGGAATAAATCAGGCGAATGGTCATAGATGAAACTCCCGCCTAAACAAGATGAAACCCAAAAGGTATCTGGATGCATTTTCGGATTGATCAACCCTAAACGCGCAACCCGCCCAGTGTTTAGGGTTGGTCCGTCCCCAAATCGCATCCGTTCCAATTGGGTTTTAGATTTTTCTTTCGAAATCAGTACATTGGTTCGGCGCGGGCGGAAAAATTGCATAATATCAAGTACTTTTGATGGGCGTTACATGTATCATCATGTCATATTACTATAGCTGATGCATGTTTTGTAGGCTACAGTGGGGTAAGCCATAAGGGGCACAACCCAATTAGGGTTGGTACTTGTACTCGTTTTCATTCATAGTGCATTCATTCATGCTGCCTTTCTAACATGGTATCGAGCAGGTTCCCTCGTAGGAACTCTTCCTAGGGCCCACCAACATCGATTTTTTTTTTTTCCTGACCGGAGCGCGCTCAGCCCTAGCCCGAGTCGCGCTCCCCTCTCCTAGCCCTTCGTGGCCCCGTCGCGCCGCCCTAGCGGCCCTGTCGCGTCGCGCTCACGACCCCGTCGAGCCGCCCTCGTCGTGCCGCCCTCGCGGCCTCGTTGCGCCGCCCTCGCGGCCTCTTCGCGCCGCCCTCGCGGCCTCGTCGCCCCACCCTCGCGGCCCTAGCGCCGCCCTGTGCGGCCCCCGCTACTTACCTGCGCGGCCCCCCCGCCACTTACCTGGACGGCCCCGCCACTACCTACGCGGCCCCCGACACTTACCTGGACGGCCCCGCCACCTACCTACGCGGCCCCCGCCACCTACCTGGACGGCCCCGCCACCTACCTACGCGGGCCCCGCCACCTACCTGGACGGCCCCGCCACTACCTATGCGGCCCCCGCCACTTACCTGGACGGCCCCGCCACCTACATACGCGGCCCCCGCCACCTACCCTGGCGGCCCCGCCACTACCTACGCGCCCCCCCCCCCCCCCCCCCCCCCCCCGCCACCTGCGGACGGCCCCGCCACTACCTGCGCGGCCCCGTCACCTACCTGCGCGGCCCTCGCTACCTACCTGGCGGCCCCGCCACTATCTGACGGCCCCGCCCCCGCTCTTACCTGCGGCCCCGCCGTGCAACCCAGCAAGCGAGCCGCCCGGCAGCGGAGCCGCCCTGCAACCGAGCAACCGAGCCGCCTGTCAGCCCAGCCGCCCAGCAGCCGAGCCGCCCAGCCGCCCAGCCGCCCAGCAGCCGAGCCGCCGAGCCGCCTAGCAGCCGAGCCGCCGAGCCACGCAGCAGCCGAGCTGCCGCGCCGCCGGCCCGCCCACAACCCGAGCCGCCGAGCCGCCCAGTTGCCGAGCCGCCCAGTTGCCGAGCCGCCAAGAACCCCCCCCCCCCATGTACATCACCCTCTACTACATAGTCACCCGCCTCCCTGACTCCCTTCGCGTAGTCAGGGACCACTTCCTCTCAGTTTGCCCCACCACTCTCACCGTTGACCTCCTCGAGAAGGCCCTCCTAGCAGCAGAGAAGAGCATACTAGCTGTAGGAGCCTCTCGTGGTGACCCGCGCACCCCCATGTTTGAGGGGTGTTCCCCCTCCCCCCTTTTGCCCTCCGTTGCCTCTGCGGCTACGGCCGACCTTGTTGGTTTGGAGTCGGTCGGTGCGGCGTTTGCCCCTAGTGGGAGACGTCGCCCTGGTAGAGGCAAGGGGGGCAGGGGCGCTGGAGGAGCTAGCGGGGGCGGTGGAGGCGGCGGTGGAGGCAGCGGAGGGGGTGGGGGTGGTGGTGGGAGTGGTGACGGGGGCGGAGGTGTCAGTAGCGGCAATGGAGGCGGAGGCGGCGGCGGCGGCGGTGGGAGTGGAGGTGGTGGAGGTGGTGGAGGTGGTGGAGGCGGTGGTGGAGGAGGAGGAGGAGGAGGACGTGGCTCGTCGCAGAGGAGTGGCTCCGGTGGTGGCCAGCGCCAGCAGCAGCAGTGCAGTCAGGAGACCCTGTCCCCTCAGCAGCTCCGTGAGTGGTACGCTGCACGCCAGCGAGGTGGGGGTACTGGTCCGTGCACCTACGTCCTGCGCACTGGCGACCGTGCGGGTGAGCCGTGTGGGGGTCTGCACCCCACCCAGCGTTGCTTTGGCCGCCTGATCGACGCTTGGCGTCGCCAGTTCCCTGACGCCACTGAGATCCCTCGCTAGGGAGAGCTGTCTAGGGCAGGAGTAGCTATCTTTGATCTTGACTTTGATGCTATTCTTCGTGCCATGTATGCTGTGACTATTAGTGAGGAGGGTGACCGTTACCGGTGTTTCCTGCCCGACCCGGGCATTGGGACTGCAGCTCTAGGTACTGGTGAGACTGCTGCTCCAGGTGCTGGTGAGGCTGCTGCTCTAGGTGCCAGTGAGTCTGCTTCCTCAGGTGCTGGTGAGTCAGCTCTCTCAGGTACCGAGTCAGCTCCGGTCTCTCACACCTTCACCCTTGACTCGGGTGATTCTCGCTCTTTCTTTCGAGATTGCACCACTCTCACGCCGCTCAGCCGGCCGGTTGCAGTCTCCCTGGCAGACTCCTCTGGGGGTCCTGTTCTTGCTCGCTACTACACTGTCCTTCAGTGGCGTGCGGTCCCGTCTGGCTCCCTGTCGGGTCTCTACCTCCCCTCATTCTCTACGAACTTGGTGGCGGGAGCTGACCTCCAGGATGGGGGGGTTGAGCAATTCACCCCTGCGGGCCAGCGGGTGACCCACTGCACGGACGCGGACACGGGCCGACACTTAGCCACGTTTACACGTCGGCCGGGGTCGAGTCTGTACACAGTGACTACCGTGTCTCCTCCGCTTGCTGCGTCTGGTCAAGTAGGTGCGTCGGGTCAGATGTTTGCTGCAGCATCCAGGTCTGGTCTTGAGTCTGCCCCCTGCTCGTGTCGCCTCCTGTCTCATGAGACTCTCCTCTGGCACCACCGCCTTGGTCACCCCTCCCTGCTTCATCTCCGGAGCATGGCCTCCCGTGTCCTTGTCTCTGGTCTTCCCCGGTCCCTCCCTCCCCTTCCTCCGGGGCATGGCCCGACCTGCGTCCCTTGTGTTGAGGGACGGCAGAGGGCTACCCCCTAATCCTCCCAGTTTCCTCCGACAGAGGCCCCACTGCAGACGCTTCACATGGACGTGTGGGGCCCAGCCCGCGTCCGTGGACAGGGTCACGAGCGCTACTTCCTGCTGGTGGTTGACGACTACTCGTGTTACACCACAGTCTTCCCCTTGCGCAGCAAGAGTGAGGTCACTTAGGTGTTGATCGTCTGGATCCGCGCAGCTCGTCTCCAGCTCAGGCGGAGCTTCGGCTCGGACTTTCCGGTTCTATGTCTGCACTCTGACAGAGGCGGGGAGTTCTCCTCTGGCCTTCTGCGAGCCTACTGTCGTGCACGAGGCATCCGCCAGACCTTCACGCTTCCGGACTCACCATAGAAGAATGGGATTGCTGAGCGCCGCATTGGCATGGTCATGGACGTCGCCCGCACGTCCATGATGCATGCGGCTGCCCCCCATTTTTTGTGGCCGTTTGCGGTTCGGTACGCGGCGCATCAGATCAACCTTCAGCCTAGGGTCTCTTTGCCGGAGACCTCCCCAGCTCTGCTGTGGACGGGGAAGATTGGCGATGCGTCTGCGTTCCGTGTCTGGGGATCTCGGGCGTTTGTCCGCGACTTGTCTGCGGACAAGCTGTCCCTGCGGAGATAACTATTGCAACGGGAGCTAAGCTGCAGGCTAGGCACGGATGCTCATGTGATCTCTGCGTTCGTTTGTTCCTTAGTCGTTTCCAAGTGCTAACACAGCTTGCTAGTTCACGGGGAAAATCGGCAAGAGTTTCACTAGGAAAAAACGGCATAACAAAAGTTCAGGATGATTGCATCAACATTGGAAACAATGACTTCATCAGACCTAGCAAGGCTTGCTCGTCCACTGCCAGTGCAGCACGGTCGACCGCGTGCCAGCACAACTCTGTCGACCGCGCTCCAGCAGAGCAGAGTCGCGGCTTGCCAACGTTGCAAGTCCGCGGTGCGCCAACGCTGCAGTATGTCGGCTGCACAGCGTCGCATCCGCGGGACAACGGTGCACCAGCTTCGCAGGTGCGTGCAGCTGGTTGGCGCCCAACTCCCCGTCACACGCCCAGCGCAGACATTCCGCCTGTGACGGCGCCCACCAGCCACGTCGACCTTGGGATACCACCCCCGAGATCGCCATCGTAGATAACATCCCCGGCGACATTCGCGCACGTTGCTCGGGTATCCTGGTTGACCGGGTACTTCGCGGTCCTCCCGCGGTTTTTCGGTCACCGCGGTCCTCCGCGGTTTCGTGGATCCGCGGTCCCCCACGATTTCGTGGCTCCGCGGTCCCCCACGATTTCGTGCCCCCCCACGATTTCATGGCCCCCCACGATTTCGTGGCCCCCTACGATTTCGTGGCCCCCCGCGATCGGCTCCGCCCAAGCGAGGACGGGGCCAAACACAACTCCCATTGACACTCCCATGCCGCGTTCACGCTTGGGCCCCTCCCCCGGCCCACACGGCGGTACTGCTCGGAGAATAGCCCGTCCGCGTGCACACAACGCACAGCACGCCGGTCACCGCACCAGCCATGTAAAAGGGCATGGCACCTACTGCTGCACGTCGTTGTCACCGTCGCCCACATCGGCCAGGCGCACTTGGCCGATTGCAACGGAGCACTGGTTGAAGGCCGGGTAGTGCAGCGCCTTCGTCACGAAGTCGGCCGGCTGCTCAGCGGTCGGGATGTACTTCAGCGAAAACTTCCCGCGCTTCACCATGTGCTGCAGCCAGGCCTAACGCCGTTCCATGTGCTTGAGGTTGCCCGTTAACCCCATGCCCTCGCCGACCGTGATAGCCGACTTGTTGTCCACCCTGAGGACAGTCGGCTTTCTGGCGTCCAGCCGCTGGAATTTCGCGAGAAGGAAGCGAAGGCGACGTCCCTCCTTGCCGGCTTCGACGGCCGCCACGTACTCCGACTCGGTCGACGAGAGCGTCGCGCACTTGATGCGCTGGCTTGACCAGGAGACCGCGGCCCCTCCGTAGATGAACACGTAGCCGCCCGTGCTCATCCGGTTCTGCTTGTCGTCCGCGTCGTCGGCGTCCACGAAACCGACCAACTCCAGCGACTCTGGACCACCGCCGTACTCCAGAGCGGTGTCTCACATGTTGGCAAGGTAGGCGAGAAAGTGGTCGACTTCGCGCCAGCGCTGGTCGCTCCTCATCGTGAGGCCGCTCCCTAGCTTGCTGCACACGAATGCGATGTCCGGCCTCGTCGTCGTCGCCACGAACTGTAGCGAGCTGACCTTCTGCCGATACTCCTCCTCCTTGCGCTCCTGCGCTTCCTCGTCATTGAATGTCTGCTCCGCATAGACAGCGACGGAGACCGGCGTCTTCGGGGTGCGCCCGGTCTGCTCCTCGTCGATGAAGCGCTTGCGCAGCTTTTCGGCGTAGCCCTGCTGGTGCAGCCACAATTTTCGCGCCGGCTTGTCGCGCACGATCTCCAGGCCGAGATACTTCTGCACCGGCGAAATTTCGCACAGCTCGAAAGCGGCCTCCAGCAGCTCCTTCAACTCCTTCAGCATCGCGGTGCTGCTGCTCGCGGCGAGAAGGTTGTCGACGTAGACCAGCACCCAGCAGGTCACCTTGTCGTCGTCGGCCTTGAAGTACAGAGCCTCGTCGACTTGGCTCTTCTTCCACCCGGCGCCAACCAACACGTCGTTGAGAGTCGTGTACCATAGCAGCGGCGACTGCTTCAGCCCGTAGAGGCTCTTTAGCAGCTTGCACACCCGGCCGGTCCCGTCGTTGAAGTGGTCCGGCTAGTACATGGACAGCACACGGTCGAGCTTGCTCTGCAAAAAAGCGTTTTTCATGTCCAGCTGCATCAGGTTGAGGTCGAGGACAGCGACGATGCTGAGGAAACTCCTCAGCGTGACGTAGCTGCTCACCGGCGCGTAGGTCTCGTCGTAGTCAGCGCCATACACCTGCGTGAAGCCTTTCACGACCAGCCTCGCCTTTTCGCGCTTGACAGTGTCGTCGATGCGGTACTTCGTGGTCAGCACCCACCGGTTCTTCATTATATTCACCCCCGGTGGGCGTTCAACCAGCTCCCAGGTGCCCATGTTGATGAGGCTACGAATCTCCTCCTCCATGGCGGCCTTCACCGCCGGGCCCTTCCATCTCGCTAACGCCTCCTTCACCGTCATGGTCGAAATGTCCCAACGGTGCTCGGGATCAGCGTGCATGTCGGGGTCGAGCTCCGAAAACTCCTCATCGTCCTCGGCGTCATCGTACGCCACGTCGTCGTCGTCCACATCATAGACCGTGGTGAAGGCAGCGGGGACGAAGAAGTCGGGTGGCCTCCGAATTCGGCCCGACTTCCGAGGTCCGGGCTGCACCTCTACCACGTCGCTTGATGTGCCTTCATCGAACTGCTCCCCTGTCGTCCGCTCCTCTGAAGCGAGCTCCGCGTTCGACTGCCCCCCTGACGACGACTTCTCTGACCCGCGCTTCCCGTTCGAGAGCTCCCCTGTCGACGACTTCTCTAACACGCGCTTCGCGTTCGAGAGCTCCCCTGTCGACGGCTTCTCTGACACGCACTTCGCGTTTGAGAGCTCCTCTGTCGATGGCTTCTCTGACACGCGCTGCCCGTTCGAGAGCTCCCCTGTCGACGACTCCGCGGTTTTCTCCGCGGGCTTCTTCGCAGTCTCATCCGCGATCTCCTCCGCGGGCTTGTCCGCGGTCTCGTCCGCGGTCTCCTTCGCGGTTTTCGCGGTGTCCTTTGCGGTGCCCGTCGCGGTCTCCTTCGCGGTGTTCTTCACGGCCTCCTTCGCGGTGTTTTTCGCGGCTTCCTTCGCGGCGTCCAAAGTTGGCTGCACATCCGCGGCCCGCTTCTCCGCGACTGGCTGGGCATCACGTCGGCCACCGGCGATGCTCCTGGCCGGCGCCGCAGGCGACGCCCCACGACTCCCCTCATCGCCGGAGGCCGACCAAAGTCAAGCCACGTAGTCCGACGGGAAGGGGATGGGAAGAAAGGGCAGGAGATGGCGAGGCAGGGGCAACCGCGAAATCCTCATCAGCCTGCTCACCGACCTTGCTGAGCAGAGGAAGCGTCGCCGTCGAGGTGTCCGTCGGCAGGTTGGCCCGCGCCTGCCCCGAAGCGGGCCCGAATTCCGACTTCCACACCTCTAGCGACAGAGTTTCGTAGAACACCACGTCCGACGTGGTGACCACCCGGTTGTCGGCGATGTCAAGGAGCTCCCAGCCTTTGCTCTCCTCTGACACGCCGAGGTGAAGGCCCCACCGGGCCTTCGGCTTCAGC